GATGAAAAGCTAAAATTACAATTAAAAGTAAACTTCAATGCACCCCCATGGGCCATGCCTGGTATGAGCCGTGTGCTTGATAACAAAAGTTGTGTTAATTTACCAGCATTGTTGAATCGTTTGGACTTTTAATATGTATTTTCAGGCCTTTGATCAACATCTCAACATGATCTTGAGTGAGGTTGAGGAGACGATTACAACTGTTGAAATAGACGAAGAAACTTTTGAAGAACTTTTCAAGGTAAGGTACACACAGTAAAAACATTTACAGCTGCACTGTCATCATTCTGGACAAGGGTCTAATTTTTAGCACAATAGTCTATCTGGGAATTAGGCATAAAGGTAAAGTCTGCACATGAGCCAGGTGGCCCATCAGGCCGGCACTTATGTCTGGTTTCAGTTGCACAAAGTGACTAGAAGTATTTCTACTCCTCCCTGGATGTCTGAATGCGATGTCAGTCCATCGCAGGGTTACCTCCCAGCATTATACACCTGGGTGGAGAGAGGCACTGTGAGAGTAAAGTGACCTGCTCAAGAACACAACATATGTGATGTCCCTTACCAGGGCCCCGTTTCTCGAAGGTCCCGAAACGTTTTCGCACCCGGAAAGCCAAAGCAAAATCTCAAACAGAGCTGTTTTATTCACATATTCTTAATATGAACAGAGGTTCTCTTCATACAAGAAATTTCAGGCATACACACCTCACTGTTTTTAGATACAGATGAACTAAAAATGGCTTTGCAGGCCGGAAAAGTTTCCGGGACTTTAAAGAAACGGGCCCTAGGGCTCGAACCCAGACCTACGAGTGCACTAGCCATGAGGACATCGTGCCTCCGTCGCTACAGGTATAATGCCGGCGTAGTAGTTTGTAGCAGAATCAGATCAACTTCAGCAAATGTTTCCTTCTTTTGTTTGCTATGGAGACAGTTACAGGAAACAGTGTTGTCTCTCTTCTGCGAGCAAGTTACATGTATGTGTAGGTTATTATGATACGTAGAGAGAAACATCTATTTACTACACTGTGTTCCACTTGTTTGTCAACAGACCACCAAGAGAAGCATACCAATGCTGTTTGTAAGAGGAGATGGTGTCATCTTAGTCTCACCGCCATTACGAGTTGGACTTTAAAATAGTCAACGACATATTAATCAGCAAAGGTGGAAGTAAACAAGCTGTTATTAGGAAAAGCTGTATTTATTGTTTTTTGATACTCACTTTTTCTTTTCAAAGAAAAAACTGAAATAAAAGAAGTTTGCGAAAGCAAGAATTTACAGATTTGAGATACATCAATTTTCCTCAAACTCATTAATAAATTCATTAATTTTAAAGAAAGGAAATCATGGCCTCTTCGCCTACGCGAGAGCCTTCTCGGGCCGCCATTTTAATGCCACGCAACTCATAAACTTTGGAAATTCGAACATCCTCTATAACAAAGTGAGGAACCCTGTCGGGCTTAAACGGCGTAAAATGTCAAGTTCTTAGAGGTTCTTTAAATACAGAAAAAATGCAAAGGCTCCGAGGCAAATTACTTTATCGGGATTTTTTTCATTGATTTAATATTTTAATTTAAATCCTCGTTACGCTATGCATCGATTTTGTTTCATTTCTAAAAGGTCAGATTTTGAGAGGATTTTAAAGTATTGAAAAGTTCGTAATTTTCTGAAAAAAGTATGATTTCGAAAAAGGAATTCATAGCTATGTTTCCAACATTGGCTTTAATCGAAATTCGTTGAAAAAGGCTGGATTTAAGGAAAAACCGCGTTTCCTTTAGCATTTAAAGAAACCGGAAGTGCACCCGATATCTATTGAAAGTTACCCTATCAGCGGGTGCGCAGTTTACACTACCAGCGCACTTCGGTAAGATCAAACAAAGCCACACGGAGTTAGTTTTCCTCTTTCTATTGCTCTTGTTTTTCTGTCTTTCTCTTATTTTGTCTTTGCTTGCACTTTTTTTACTTTACATTTTGTGAAACACAAAGAAAAACATCTAAAATGTAAGCGAATTTGGAAGTTATTGACTTGTTGTTACTTTCCGCGCTCAGGCTGACGTAAGTAACCGGAAGTGAAAATTCACCTCCTTAGCAACGCGCGCGAGCGCGCGAATGAATCGGTTAATGGGCCCTTAAAATGAATTTAAAATTATGAAAATTGGCAGTTTTTAACATAATTTCTAGTAAAAGTAATCATTTATGTTTGATACACAACATAATGAAGAACATGTGAAGTGGTGTGGCGCAAGGAACGCGGGCTCACAAAAGGTTGGGAAAAAATCGAATTACAATTCGAAGGAGGACTGAGAACCAGTATCCCGAGAAAAAGAAAGCAAAATGGCGGCAAAGTTGGATTCTGAGAATATTCTGCTGATCACCGACTCTTACAAAGTAAGAAAACCTTGTTTGCCCCAAAATTTAGTGATTTGCTTGATTTTCTATCTTTTAGATCACACTTTGTCGTGTCTTGCGCTGGTTTGGAGGATCTTGAGACTTCCGGTTCCACCGCATTGAACTCTGACAGGGAGAGGTTCGTTTGCAGGCTGTTACCAAATCTGTTATTTTCGTTGCAAACAGGTATCACATCACAAGCAGTATCCCTCAGGTACTACCATAGTGTTCTCTTACTTTGAAAGCAGAGGAGGAAAGTTTCCAGAAGTGTGCTTCTTCGGTTTACAATACTTGATAAAGGTGTGTGGTAGGAAGTACATGTAAGCACTTTCACTTTCACTTTTGAGCTAGTGGGCGCTGTTTACATACAGTACGTTCCCTTCATGTGGATTTTTATGTGCATGCAAATTGTTGACGTTATATGTGATTTGGCATACAGTATTTGAATGAATTTCGTGATTTTCTGGGGCTACTACCATTTTCGAGCTATCGTGAACGACCAACTTTTCCACGTTGTTCCACGCTTTAAACATTTAAACTTGTCTAGACAAACTGTCGCGTTTTTTAATTGGACCAATTAACGTTTAGAACGTGAACATGTCAAGTTTTGACAGCTCTGCCAGAATGTTGCCTTTCAAATCATGGGGTGAGCCTTAGTTTAATGTTTATTTTGTTGTTTTTTTTAATATTCAATTCAATTCAATTCATTTATTTGCCCAAAATCATCTACAGTTCATTTTTACATTTGTACATTTTTACTTGACTAAAATCATGTTGCTTTGAGCTGGAAGTCTACCAGTTGAATCTCAGAAGCCGAGGAGACTGATGTATATAGAGGTCTGTAGTCCTGTGCAATGAACTGGCAACTTAGAACGATCCACTCTTTAATTGATAAATTCAAGCGTCAAACTCTTGTCTCCGTTTTCCAGTAAGCTCCTAGCATTTGCAGGAAATGTGCCAAGTATAAAGTGGATCATTAACAATATCATTTTGTTTTTGTTTTATTTTTTTAATAGAAATGGCTTGTGGGGCAAGTTGTCACAGCTGAAAAAATAAAACAGGCAAAGGAGTTCTACCAACTT